GGGCCCATGGCTCACTGCAGACACCCATCTTGCTGTCTCAAAGTCCTGCAGCATTCATCCTCACAACCCTGCCTGCTCTCTTCAACACCACATTTGAAGAAAATTATAAACCAGCATTTTGTTCCCTGATCAGAGCCAAGAATTGTGTAGGAGCTTCTCTGTAGATCATACTTTCCCAGCACAGGAGATCCACATATTACTGGCCACAGACACTCTCAGGTGTGTCACTAGTCCAAGCCTCCCAGGGCAGCCAGCATCTCCGTCCCTGCCATATGCTTAATTAACGCTGGGTGGGAGAAGTGCTGAGAGGCCTTGCTGCACCCTGCATGGGAGAAAATGTTTCACTTTAGCAACGCTCACTCATGCAGTCAACCATTTCCTCAGCTTGCTCCGACAGCTGCTGGCCTTGGGCAGGGAGGGCGGTGCCTGGATTAGCGGTGCCGGGCAGCAGCCTGACGCACAGAGCGGCCCTCCCCACCACCTCCCGTGTACCCCTGGCCAAGAAGGTGCAGACTGTTGCTGCCTGGAGCTGGACGTTTCAAGGCTTTGTGGGTTAGATTGTGAACTCTGGGAAACAGGGTGTGTTTGAGCAGCATCTTGGACAACGACGGAGTCCGGCCCAAGAGAAGGACTCGTGGGTATTCCTGGAAACCTCCTGACAGTGATCACATCCACCGCACTCCTGTTACCCACTTGCCCAGCTTTCACCTGCCACACCCTGCCCGGGGCAGGGGCGCGCGCAGCACCTCACACCACACAGCCCTACCCCGGCCGGCTGCATCACACAGGTAGGCGAGAACCAAACCCCCCAGCACTCTGAAGGGAAAGCTGGGAGAGGAGGAACTTGCTAGAGCTACCCTCTGCCTCGCTCCTGCCTGACTCTGACAGGAGGTCACCCCTCAGAGCCACGCACAAATTCTCCCTTGCACCAAGAGCTATCTGCAGACAGGTTTTAGCCTCGTTCTTTGGAGCTGCAGCCGTTTTAAAAGCCAGGTACGCAAGCAAACAGGCTTGTTAGTGGCAAGAGCCAAGTGTGGCTTGCCCGGCCTGCGCTCCTCCTCCACTCAGGGCTCCCGAGCGAACTCAGCCCATGGTTTGCAGCACACTCCTGATGCACCGTGCAGGCTGGGCATCCCACAGCACATCTGACAGGCAAAACAAATAAGAAAAACATCAAAGTGCATCTTTAATTTGGAGCCATCTAAGATTGCCAAATTCACCAACACCTTTTTCTCTTCACCATTCCTTTCTCCCCTCTATTTTGCAGCCAACTCCGCTTTCTTCCCATCCCACTCCATTCCCCTTTTCTGTCTAGTGCTTCATGTGCTGGCAAACGCTGTGGACTCCTAAGCCCAGCAAAAAATCCCCTTCCTGCCAAACAGAGAAGTCGTAATAAATGAGTGTACGTTAGCAGACTTTGCTAACAAGCGTTTCTGAAGCTTGAAACCAGTACTAGCTACATAGGTGTTCAGTAAACCCGCTCCACAAAGACAATCATTACAAGAAGGCAGAGAACTTGCAAGTTATGCCTTGAAACCAAAGCCCCAACAGTCCAAGCACCCCAGTAAAAACAGCTCACAGCCTGCCCTAAAATCAGTGGTCAGGAGGTTTGTGTTTGTCCAGGATGAATGAACAAACGACTGGAGAGCTGAGAAATAAAAATCAGTGCAAGGACTGAGGCATAACTCATGACACAGCACGTCTGTCCACTTGCTACGGAAACTATGTTTGGCAAGTATCAGGTGTCTGAATTTCTGCTTATGTACATCTCCCGGGACAGCAGTATATTAATAACACAGCCAGACTAAAAACAGAAACTATCACCAAGAAAAGCCGCCCTTCTGCTGAGCGTTCCTTGCTGTAGCCTGGGTATTGTTGTTGTGCTTCACCCAAACAGCACAGTTTTGTTTCCTTGCTTTTCAGATTTGCCATCTAAGCCAATCTGAATTGAAGGAAGACCAATAAACAAAAGGAAGGGAAAGGAAAATTACAGCAGGAAGCAAATCTTAAGCATAGCTTTCTTGAATGTCTTGCCCTCGAGGTTCGCACTGCCATGCAAATACAGAGAGAGAGCAGCAACCAGGGTGCAAGCGTGAAGGCACAAACCTTCCCACGAGGTCTACTCATGCAGCTTGACGGGATAGCCCAGGCACGGCAAGCAGCGTGAAAAGAAGCCACAGAGTCAAACACAGAAGAAAGCAGCAAGCAGACACAGGCCTCCGGGCAGGGGCAGAACACTGGGCAGAGAGGAGCACGGCAACAGAAGCAGAGTAGGACGAAAACAACTGCAGGCTCAAAACGCAGGCCAAGGGGTTGGAATGGAAGCAGAGGAAGGGAGCGGCACAGGCTTCGGTGAAGGTGGAACTGCACTGGACCGCTCACTCTAGATAAACCAAGTTTTCTTAAGAGAAGCTTTAACTCTACAGCCTTGGAAGGAGTGTTTGTGCCTGCATCAAGAAATGGGCATATGTGATTAAGATCCATACCAGGCTTCTCCCGTACTCTTAAATCATGTTAGAGATGCGTTAGTCACACCAATGCAGCCAGCCACTCCGAACCGCCCGGAGCAGCCAGGTTTCTTTATAAATCCGGGAGGTCATTTCCCAGGAAACCTTGTGCTGCATGTGTTGGAGGGCAGGGTGCACCCACACAGCTGAGGCCTGCTGCCCCCCGGTGTCAGACTGCGCCCAAGACACTCGGCTCCAGCCAGCAGAAAGTGCAGCCACATTTCTAGTTCATCTCGACCCAACAGCCGTCTTTATTTGCACAACACAAAGTCAGGGATATGGATTTTAAAAGAAACTGTCCATTCTGGGCAGCTGCATTTTGCTTCTCTTCTGCTGTATGAAGTTGAGGCAGCAAAGTTTTTTCAGAGCTGCACGTCAGTTACTAACAGACAAACAATTTCTGCCGACCACTCTGATCACATGTATCTCAAACCTCAGCTGAGGATGTATTTTCCACGGGTCTGAGGTGTCAACACCAGACAACGCACAGAGAGGAAAGCCTGCAGATGTACACAGCGATGCTGCTACTAAAAGGCAAGGACTGACAGTGACTGTCGGGCTGGTCAACAGCTTTCCCTAGCGTGCCTAAGATGGCAAGGATCTGATATAAAGATGCACTGATTCAAGTGGCTTCCCTGACAGCTAAGAGCGACAAAGGAGAAGGACCTAATTTGAGTCACCAAGAGAATGTCATTACGCTCACATGATTATTCAAGTGATCAGGCCAGGTAGGACAGAATTAGCCAGGCCAACGCTTCAGATTTCTTCTCCTCTGCCAGGAGTCCAAGTCTTAAAATAGCCAAGGAATTAGTGCCAGCCGCCTACCTGAGCAGCCGGTTATTATCACCTGGGCTTTCCTCTGAAATCTTCTGCCAAGCCTGACCCACAGCCAACAGCAGCAGAGAGTGTTTCATCTCAGACAATAAAAGATCAAGGCTAAGTACGTGCCACAAAACCCAAAGTGGAATTTCTGCAGGTCTCAGATTTCCAGTAAAATCCAAATTCTAGTTGTACTGTCAAACTGCATTTTCAGACAGGACTGGATAACTGCAGTCAGCTACGACAGGTTATGCTGGAACAAGAATAAATCTTGCCAAACAACAAACTGCTACACTCAAATCCTCTGAACTCGTGCTACTGGTGACAAAACCCTGCCTTCCCTTCCTCAATCCCACGCAGAGGCGTATCACAATACTGCAACGCGCCTATCGCCCCCTGAAACAGAAGATACGCTTATTTCACATAGGCAATGAAACTAAAATAGAGGGACAAGGTGCTGCAGGGCCCAAAGGACAACAGAACTCCTCATACAACCCAGGCCGCTCTGATGACTGATGCATCTCCTCAAAGAGCCTTGCTCAGCCTGGGAACAGCTGCAGACAAGCTAGTTGTCACCATCCGCGCCTCATCACAGTTCAGCCGGAAGTCCCTCTAAAGGCAGCCACACTTGGCAGGTCCTTGAACGTTTTCCGAGCGAGGCAACAGCACATTTATGGCACACAAAACCCCAGAGAATTGCAAGCTCCTTCTGCCCGGCCAGCCCGGAGGTACAGCAGCACGCCCGCACGTGCACGCCCGAAGCGCCGTGTACAGGGTGCGTGAGGAATGGCAGCGCAGCCGAGACTCGGGCTAAGCCGCCAGCCACCAGAACAGCCCCCCTACACCCTCCACAGCAGGGTACGCTCTCAAACACCAATCTTTTGCCTGCATAGGGAAAGGAACGGGAATCTTGAATGCGAGTGACTCCAGACATCTTCCTGTCTCTTAGCACCTTCCTAACCTAATCCCAGTCCTTTCCACGTCCTCTGCAACCGCTCCACACGCTGGCAAAGGCGGAGTCTCCCAGGCACGGCCGAAAGCGGATCTGAAAGGCACCGGCTTGCTCGGGCAGCGCGGTATGCTGCCTCTGCCTGGACAGTACAGGCAGATCTTGACTGATCACAAACTGGAGATGAAATTCAAGGTATGTCTTCCTTGGGGAAAAAACCCTCACCCTCTATTTGTGCAACGATGTGAGAACTCGCATGAAACGCAGACATTCAGTTAAACAGAAAAACCACTACCAAGAGCCACCACAGTTGAAAATGAATTAATTTTTTTTTTTTTTTTTTTTTAATAACCCCATCATTAATTATAAACGTAAGATACAGCCCTGGATGAGCAAGCTCTGGATGGACAGCCTCGCATTTTCTTTCAATACAGCAAGTGCTAGAGACAAGTTACAGAATTAACTGAAGGTTCTGGCACGACTGTAGGCCTGTCACAGCACGGGCACTCGTGAGCACAAAGTCAAGAGTATCTTCAAAGGCAGAGAAGACCGTAGGTCCCCCGATGGCTAAAAAGGAGGGGCAGGATTTGTGAACAGGTTCCTTGCCTAGGAAAGACTGGAACAGTCTAGTCAAGACGAACCGAGCAAGGGCAGCAGAATCACCAGAAGCTCCAACTTGCCCGTTTTCTGAGTTGAGGGAGAACATGGCTACAGCCATCAAAATTTTAAGTCTGTTTCTTCAGGTTTGGTCTTTTTCTTGGCTTCTTCTTCGGTCTCTGCACAGCATTCTTAACACTGGCAGGGGGCAGTCTGAGAGTAATTTCACTGTCCTCTGCGTCATCATCTGCCTGGGAAGCTTTCCGGCGCTCGAGCACCGTTGGAGTGCAGACTGGAGTAGGATCCTGAAGAGATCAGAAAAACACAATTCATTGCAAAGCACCTGCCAGAGGCAGTTGTCACTGCCTCTGTGGTACCACAAGGCACTCAGGCCAGCTCTCCTTCCGAACTTCCACGTCAGGGGAAACTTTCATTTTTATAACTAGCTGTTTTTGTAGACAGTATTTCTTCAGACAAAAGTGTCATCTTCAAAAAAGTACATGTGAAAGGCAAATGTAGATTCATTCACATTTTCTAACATGTCATTATGCACGTTTGCTTTCTAAACTTTGTATTTCCTGACTCAAAGCACTGAGAAAGCCAAGAGGAAAAGGATCAGGTGGGAAAAAATAAGTGTATTTGAGAGGGCCATACAGAAGTGCCACATTCGAGCCCACAGCAGAGCTGAAACATCCCAGCTCCATTACCCCAGCGAGTTCTCAGCACTCAGCTGACTGAATGTAGGAGTTATCCTGTCTTACTCACAACCAGCCCCATCCCAATTATCACAAGTAAACCCAGTAACATTAAAAAAACCAAAACAGACTCACAACAGTGATGAAACAAAACAGAAACGTTAATACCAGACAGACTCTCTAGACTGTCAGTATCCCAAATCTCAGTCCTGATGGCCTGAGCTTTCCTTTCATCCTACTGCTACTTTTAGCTGACATTCGTTTGCAAAATAGGGGAATACCATGCCTGGAGGGCACAAGGGAGGAGGGACAGGATCGTATGTAGATGGGGACGGGCAGCACTAGACTGCCTTAACGGTTCAACTTCCTTTCTGTCACACCAGGCCGGTACTACAAGGCAGGACAGACCACCAGAAGGATGCCAGCAGGGAGACTATTTCATACCAGTCTGAAGCAGAGAAGCAGGTGGTGAGCAGGTGACCGCCCCCAGCACCCCGTGTTTCTCCTGCCTCACGTTAGTGCGGGATAGCAGGGGCTGACAGCACCCAGCGCTGCCCGACGCACCGGGGCAAGCGCCGCTGGTTTCCGCACGCTGAGCGGCAGCCCTTGCTGCTGAATACTCCTACAGGAGAAAGAACTGAGAGGATCCAACCACCCTTCCCCGTTCAAGAGTGATAATCCACATCAAAGGAGCTACTTTTGGCACAAAAATCTCTCAAGCAAACAATGTCAAGGCTTCCAGGTGTTGCAATTAATACAAAGAAATCAGTTGCAGACTTGAAACATCTGCCTCAGTGTGAATGGTGGAGCGTGATGCTGGGCATCACCAGGACTGTCCGGTCTTACCTGGCTGCTCAAAGAAACGTTCATTTTTGGCTTCTTGGCTGTTTTAACTTTTTTTCTCTTTATGGAAAGCTCCTGTGCAGCCTAGGAAGCAAGACAGATCAGGTGGATCACTTCAAACCTCCTTGTGTGAGGACGCAGTCACTTAACAGTCTATAGGTTTTGCTTGCCAACTACAAAATCTTTGCTGCAGCAATTAGGTTTGAACGAATAAAATGACTTCCAGTGCCACAGAGATGAACTGGTTTGAACAAAAACACCCAAAGCAACATAAGAAATTAAAAAAAAAAATTACTGCATTAAACAGCATCGCTTAAAATTCCAGTCCTTCGCCCAAGCACTCCGCGAACGAGCAAACCCTTAGTCAGCATAGGCAGGGTCTCTGGGTGGGAGCTCTAGGGACCTGCCTTCAAATACCCACCCTGCCAAAGCCTCCCACAGGGCTGGAGCAAAGCCCCTGCCACTCGTCTGTGACCGGCAGGCAGCTGTGAAAACCGCAGGATACCCAGCTGCTTAGGCTAACGGCACAAAAGGAACGCCTTCCCTTTCCCTTCTCTGAAAGTAAACCCACACGTCACGGAGCACAACGCAGTGACAGCACCATGCGTACTTCCAGGAGCTTCCATACAGTTCTTCTGTCCCCCTGGTGCTCCAGCCCTTTGACCAGTTCCACACAAAAGACATGATTTTCTTATATTTAGCACAACCTCGGACACGTTTTGCACGAAACACTCATCAAAACGATGCCAAACTTACAAATCCCGGGAAGTCATAATCGAGCCCCTTCTCAGCCAGCCTCTTCCGGAGAAGCCTCTCCTTCCGCAGCAGCCGCTTTGTCATCTTTGCCTTCTGAAGGAGCGAGCGTATCTTATTGTACCGCCTGACCGCCGGCTGAGAAGGCTTCCGGAATATTCTGTCACTGTTTTTGAAGAGGTTTTCATGGACCCTTTCAGGAGATACAAACTGACCTGGATCATAAACACATGACAGCGAGTTATAGCAGAGCTGCCCTTCTCACCAAACACTATCCAGTTCTCCTTACAACTCTATCCACCACCGCGGAACACCAAGAGCACAGCATTTTATGAATGCAGAAGACGGAAAGGAACTGAGAAACTCACTAATTTCATTCATCTTTTAATCAAAAAAGCCCCTTATGTCTAACTACACAGACAATGGCTGCAACAGCTACAAACTACAAAGGAACTGTCCTCACAGCAAAGCCCACCGCTCCCCGAGACTTCCTGTCACACGATTACACAACGAGCATTATCAGCCTAGAGGAAAAAAACAGCAGTAGTGACCAAAGGCTGCTGAGGATGTTCTTTACACATAAAGAAAAGGAACAAAAGATCAGCTCCACAGAAGGTCCTTTTGGTAGAAAACTTCATTAAAAACCTTAAGACTCTCCACATGGTCCAAAAAAAATACACACACATAACTATGACATGCCTTTGCACTTCAACTCATACTTACACTTCAGCAGTCTTTCAGAAAACAGGTAGTTGTTCATTGTGTCTGCAACAATCTTAGCCACATCATCGGACTCAAACTCTATAAATCCGTAGCCTTTGCTAGCTCCGGTCTGCAAGCAACGACAGGAAGAAATCTGAAACAACGCTTTGATACCTGAAGAACTAAATTAAAATTATTTTGTGCTTCCAAAGTCATAGCCCGTTCTCAGCAAAACAGAAGTAACTTCATAAAGTCCAGGGAAATAATGAAAAGCACCACACTGAGTTCCAATCTAGTATGACATTATTTGTAAATACATATTTGCGTACGAAACAGACTGCTCACCAATACCTATTTGTTAAAAAAACCAGCTGCCCTGCGTTGCTGCTGTGCTGTTGTTGTTAGCAACCTCATACAGCAATAGCATAACATGACGACAAACCCAGAAATGAGAAGTTAAATTTATCGAGCACAAAGCACCAAGAAAGCTAAGACAGAGTCTTAGCGACGTTTCCCATTCTACCTTGAATTGGTGTATTCCGGCCAACACTTCTCCCGTACGCCTGTTTACTGATGGAAAAAGCCGGGCTGCACTAACTGCGGCTGACACCGCCCATTGCCGCCCAGAGGCAATGCCCCGCAGGTTGCCCCCGTTTTGGAAGTATTCTTTTTAAGCCAGGCCGCTGAGCACGGTGCCCCCCTCTGCCCACTCACGGAACTGCAAGCTTCCCGCGATGTGCGCGCCCTGGGCGGAGCACCGTGCCGGCAGGCGGCACCGACACACGGCGCCGCTGTAACTGCGGCTGACACCGCCCATTGCCGCCCAGAGGCAATGCCCCGCAGGTTGCCCCCGTTTTGGAAGTATTCTTTTTAAGCCAGGCCGCTGAGCACGGTGCCCCCCTCTGCCCACTCACGGAACTGCAAGCTTCCCGCGATGTGCGCGCCCTGGGCGGAGCACCGTGCCGGCAGGCGGCACCGACACACGGCGCCGCTGCAGAAAAAAAAACGGTCCTTTCCCTCCTTCCTCCCCGAGAGCCGCAGCCGCGTCACCGTCCCGAACTGCTCGAAGTACTCGTAGATCTGCGGCTCGCAGAGCCCCCGCGGGAGGTGCCCCACGTACACCACGCCCGGCGTCAGCTCCTCCTGCGGGGCACACAGCAGCCGCGTCAGGCCGG